TTTTCTTTTATAAGTTGAGACATTTCTGAGTCGGCCATGAACATTCTTAGTGGGAGTAAGTAGCTGATCGGTGCAACATCAGGCCTTAGACACGGTGACTGTCTGTCCTGCAGTCTCGCTCCTTGGAAGGAGGCTGCTGTCTCCCAGAGTCAGAATTTGCAGGGGAGGACTCACTTGTGTGGTTCAGAAGGTGGGGCTCTTAGAGTAACTCCTGGAGAGTGTCACGGAAAGCCTCTGCTCTTGCTCTCTGATTCCCTTCCTTTGATACTGTTCCTGGCGCCATGAGCCATCAATTAAGAATGGGCTTGGTCTTTTGCAAGGCTAGACTGGATTGTGTCTTTCTTCAGGGTGGAATACAGGGCTCCCCAGAATGAGGTTTGTAAGTCCAGTTCAAAACCCTGATTATTTTCTTTACCATAGGCCTGGAGTTCAAGGGCAAGGGTTGGTTTTCAGGAGGAAATCAGACAGGAGGCTCTTAGAATAAACATCTTGGTACTCACTCCATGACCCCTATTTACTTCAAAGGGCTGTTAAATACAGTCAGGGCTGAGAACACTGGGCCAGAGGCAGCTTTGTAAATGGGCTGCCTTTAGCTAGCCTGCAAGCTGCTGGGCTAATGACCATTTAAAACTTGGTCATCTAGTTTTACTTTCTTCTGCAGAGTCTAGCTCTGCAGTTGATCAGTCAAGAGGGTAACCTTTGCTTCATTTATTTCCAAGCCTCTGGTCAGCCCAAGGAAGTTATGGAAGTCAGGGGGCAGCAGTAGGCATCTAGGGGGACTCCAGATCCATGATCAGAGAAGGGTGGAAGCTCTGTAGTGTTAGTCCCCTGCACATGCCTTCCCAGGAACTAGACTAGTAACAAGTTTAAAAAAGAAACTTAGCTCCATCATCTTGAGAGAAGCCATTTGTGACATGGAGCTCTGATAGGTGGAGAAAGTCATTCTTTCACATTTCATCTGAAATTTTTGCATGCATGAAGTCCTCCAGGTAGACGTTATGGTGCAGAAAGAGCAGTCCCAAGTGCAAAATGAGCAAAATTCAAAAATCTTGCAGGTTCTTAGGAATTGTTTCAGCAGTTTTGTGGAGGAGGAGAAAGGAGGCCACAGCCCAGCAGCAAGCTCCAGTGCACAGAGGTGACTTTGTAGGACATCCTAGGAGGGCAAGGCGGAGGCCAGTACAGATCCCCAGCTCTCCATGGCAGTACTTAGCACCAAGCAATGTTCTCTCCCCTTGTTTGTTTCCAAATCTTGTTTTCTTTTATGATTCATTTAGTTGCTAATGTGGAAAGACAGTTTGGATCTCGGCCTATTCCATAACAATCTCCCAAACCTCATGGTCACCTTTATTGAGAAAATAGTCCCTCTATGCCAAAATTAATAAGGCTGTTTAAAGATACATCAGGGTGAGAGCATTCTTTTTAAAAAATGTATTTGGTACAGGGTCTCACTATGCAGCTTGGGCTCATAGTGCTTCTCCTGTTTTCAGCCTCCCCAGCGTTGGGATTACAGGTGTGTGCCACCACGCCTGGACTTGGTGGCTGGCTCAGTGCGCCTAGGGGCAGGGCTGGCATGGCGTAGGTGCTGGGGATGGAACCCTGGTCCCTGTACTTTCCTAAGCAGGTGCTTAGTCCACTGAGCTATCTCACTGCCCCAGAGCATTTTTACCTTTATATAGACTTTTGACTCTAAGTGATTATTATCAAATCTCAAAGTTCACTGAGAACCCCATGAACAGAGAAACTAGAGTTTCAGAGATATATCAGTTCTAACATTTGTTCAGTTAATTTTGATGCTTTTGTGTCCATTAGTTTAGAATTACAGGTATTTTGTGGTAACCCCTAAAACATGAGATATATACTGTAAATCTCACTGTAAATGTATATAATATATACATCCATATGTATATATTGTAAATAGTTTGTATATGGTGCAGCTGTGGAACTTGGAAGACTGTACTCTAGGAGCTGGGGAGATGGCTCAGTAGAATAAGCGCTTCCCTGGCAAGTGCAAGGGTCTGAGTTCAAGCCCCGGTTCCGCAAAAAAAAAAAAAAAAAAAAAGACTGTACTCTAATTACTCAAAGACAAGTATAAAGATTGTTTCAAATAAAAATCTTGACTATTTCTCCCACCCCCTATACTTTCTGTTAAAAGGAAGAGTTTAGAACAGACTCAAAATAAAAATCCTTACACAATTATTCGAAATTCAGAAGCAAATATATGATTTAAATGGAAACTGTGGATAATTTAAAATGAACACAACAATTTAAAGGCGCAGAGGTGTAGAGGTGCACACACCCAAGTTGTGTGACTTCGGGTCCTCATAAGGCAGGCAAGAACCAATTCATCTGGCTTCCACACAATCTCATCCAAATCGTGCCCCACGGGTGAGTATTGAACTTTTAAACCATCAGAGGATGACACATGCACACACCGAAGTGTCCGCCTAACACCTGGTCACCCTGTGGGTCTCTAATACTACCCTATTTGTTCCAAGTCTCCCATCTTGCTGTTTTAGGGCAATGTGGCATCTCAGTAAGGGTTCAGGAGTGTCCATCAGACGTGCTCTAATTCCTGCTGCCATCTGGCGGTCAATTAAAAAAACTACACTGTGACGCCAACGTGGGCGGGGGGAAGGCACACAGCTGACATTTCAGAGGAAGGAATGCACATACTTTTTCTGCAGTACAATTCATGTCATTTCCACAATTCTCAGTATCTCCTCCAAATTAATAGCAGTTGGGCAGACAAGTGTTCCTTTGCTTTTAAATATTCTAGGTGACCTCAAAATTGGAAGCATGAGAGAATCAGAAGGAGCTGATGCTTAGAGGAGTTGTTACAGACCTTTGTTTAAGGTAGGTGCCAGAGGAAGGCATGCTAAGGAGAAAAATAGGACTTGTGTCCAAATTGACATTTCAGGGTTCTGTTCGCTCCAGTTTATGCAGGTGCCTTCGGTGCAGGAAACAGTTACAGTTGGTTAAAAATTTTGTACCTCAGAACTGCTGCTAAAGTAATCACAAAATCATGACCTCACGATATCACCTGGATAAGGGAGCTCCTAAGTTTGAAGCCTTTGGTGTCCAATGCTGTGACAGGCAGGGAATATTTAACGTTTCACCAGATTTTTTTTTGGTACTGGGGATTGAACTCTGGACCCTGCCCTTGCCAGGCAAGCACTTATTCTACAGAGCTATCTCCCCAGCCCACCTTTCACCAGATTTAGTCAAAATTTGGGAGAGCAGGAGCATTACTTGTGTTTTTAGCATTATCCAGCTAATTCCCACAGGTCAGTGGAAGGTGGACGGGAAGCAGCAGCTGGAGTCTAGAAGGCAGCGCTTATGGAAGGAGAAAGCCACTTGCAATTCTGCACAGTGTAAGGATCTGTGCGTCTCCTGGCTGGCGCAGTGATCAAAATGATGTCTGTTGTCTTAAATCACTTCCACGGACAGGAGTGCTTCCTGCTGCGCTCCCTGGTTTGTCTGACTGGTTAACCAGGAAGTTGAACTTGGGCTGTGCTGCTGACAGTGGCTAAGGAATCACCACACGTGGGTGCACCCAGTTCAGGCCTGCTGTGTTGTGCTAGGTGGAGTCCGTGCCATGGCCACCCAGTCCCTTGGGAACAGGGCTGTGTTGTGTGAGATAACCGTTGGCATTTAGCTGAGGTTGTCTATAAAAGGGTAGGGCAATGGTTCTTGACCCCTTATCTGGGTTTGAATATTTGTTTTCTTCTTCTCTAAAATTCTTTCAAATATTTTTTGTTTGTTTTTTTGTTTTAGAGTCACAAACCCTTTGGTGATATGGATGCAAGGATGAGAAGGATAGTACGCAGTTCACAGTTCAGTCCCATTACATGGAATTCTTTCAGGAGACACATGAGATGTTAGAGTTGATGAGTTGACCCAGTGCTTTTCCAGCACTGTGGGGGAAAGAATCATTGTGCAGAAGAAATATCTTAAAAGTCCATTCCTGATCTGGCCAGTGTTGTGATCAAAACTTTTAAAATACACATGATCTTTCTGTCCTGCTGCTATTACGTGCTTTATCTTTCATGCCACCATAATCAAAGTACTTACCATTTCCATAACCTCCCTTATCACCTCTGGGGCTGGGTGCACACTGTGCACTCTTTGTGAGATAGGACCTGCCATTATTTGTCAACAAGGGGGACATTCATCCCATAAGACACCCCATACTCCCCCGCAGGGCTCTCCTTCTGCTTCTTAATCTGTATCTTGTGCCCATTGTTGGCATCATTTTATTATAATTATGATTATACAATCCATGCTCTTCTTCACTACTGGAAAATTATCATCAACATGCCTCTTCTTACTGTCCTGTGAGCCCACTGTGGCTGGGCTGCAGCAGGCTTCAAGCAGACACAGGTTTTAAAAAAAGACACAAGGAGTCCCCTTTCTCACCTTTTTTCCAGCTATGTAACCTCCGGAGGCGCCAAAGCTTTTGGTGAATGTGCCCATGTACACGTCAACATCCTCAGGGTCTAGACCAAAGTATTCTCTGACACCCCGGCCAGTGGGACCTACAGACCCAATACTGTGTGCTTCATCCATGTAGAGGTAGGCCTTGTATTTCTTCTTCAGAGCCACGATCTCAGGCAGATTCACAATGGAACCTTCCATGCTAGGGCAGAAGAAGAAATGCGTGTAATACACACCCCTCCGGGGGGCTCCAGCAGTCTTTTTCTAATACATCCTACACAGTTTGCCCCAAACCAGGCAGGGGTGAAGAGGCATCCTATGCTTTTCTTCTGAAGACATATTTTATGGGATTAAGACAATGATTTCAGTGTTGTGAAAGAGCTTGGCATATCTATGTTATTTGAATAAAATAGTTTATATTGAGTTATTACAGCTAATCCCCAGGCAAGCCGTAAGCTTGCTCTATTGTTGACCATATCTATTTGCAAAGTTGATTATCATAACTAGACTGACTATTTTTGATTCCAGGTGTTCTGCTAGTCTTAATTAAATTGCTCCATGGACCTGCTTTTATTGACTTCCCACTGCCTGTTTAGCCAGATCTGCCTGATCTAAATTCAGTGCTTGCATCGCCAAAAATTTAAAGAGGGAATTAAATACACAGAGAAGAACTTATGGAAGACATTGCTGTACTAATAGAAGCATAGCAGACTGTCCCTAGGACCCATGTTTATTGCTCACTTATAAGTCAAAGTCTTATTTAAGGCACCTGGGGGTGTTGCTTTTTTTTTTTTTTTTTTGTTCCTTTAGAGAAATGAGACATAAGTTGGATGAATGCTGGTATTTCCTGAAAGACTGAAGACAAAAGCTGCTGGGTTCCTCTCGGGAGTTCTCATTCAGAAAGGTTGAGAATACAGAGGCTCCCAGATGATGCTGGTATCAAAGGTGGGGAAGAGCACTCTGACACTGTTGCTCCAGATAAACTCCTTTGTTTTAGACCTATGTGTGTTTTTGTTTTTATGATATTGTAAATTGAAAAAAACCTACCTTAATTCTTTCAGGAAAGAGAAAAATATAAAATCAATAAATAGAATTAAGTTTATATTTACATGACATCTCTTGGAACATAATAGATTGAAAAGAACCTTGGACTCTAATCACTTCTCAGAACACTTAGTAAGGTGTGTCAACAACACACGTGGTTTTGACCCACAGGCGAGTTCTATGGGGACACACAGACACACACACTCACTACACAAAGGGATGTGTCAAATGACTCGCAGCCCTTTGATTCAGTTCAAAAACTTATCGAATCAGAGAGTTCAACTTTTTACTTCCTAGTTTACGATATTCTATGTAATGTAATTTTAGAAATATGTCTGAGTGTTAGATTGATTTGGTCAAAATAGTCTAGCTGGTTGTGCAGCTATTCAAACCAGTAGGAGCTAGCCGAGAGCCAAGGGGTTGTGGAGTACAATGTTTGTGTGTTTCACAAGGTCAGCTTGGATGCTGGGGTTTGGATTTTGGTGAAAAAAAGATCAAATAGTTTCTCCTGCAGAATTTTTTTTTTTTTTTTTTTTGAACCAGGGATTGAACTCAGGCCCTTGGGCTTGCCAGGGAAGCGCTTATTCCACTGAGCCATCTCCCTGACTCTCCTGCAGAATTTTTTAAAAATCAATTGCTCTTTAAAGTTATCTCAACTTCTTACTAAGTTGAGAGGGAGGCCATCACTGGTCAGCTGTGAATTTAGGCAACTTTTTATTTTTTTGGCCAGCTCCACCCACCCTGAAGGTGGGCCTGGAGCAGCATGTGGTCCCCTGTGCATGCTTAAGCCTGCCTAAGCAGGCGCTTTAGACCACTGAGCTATCTCGCCTGCCCCAGGCAATTTTCTTTCATGATGTCCACTATCTCAGTTTCTTCGTGAAAGCCCAGTAAGTGCAGAGATGGCGCCCTGCTGGTAAGATCGTTCTAATCATGGCTAGAAGTCAGGCTTATAGAGATCCTGCCCCATAATGCCCGGCCAGGGACCTGTCAGGAGGAGAAGTGGGAGAGGAAACAGTTGTAGCAAGAGATCTAACCTGCGAAACTGGGAGCCTTTGACTTTGCTATGTTGAATTTTCTAGAAAGGAGGCTCCTGGGTGTCATGGTGGTTGTCAAACCTAATAAATGTCTTGAGGCTTTCAGAATTCTACAATTTTCTTCTCATCTTTAAAGTGTCATAAATTAGTAACACAAATGTGTCGAAAACTTAACATGTCACAAATGGCCATTCTTTGTTCTGGAGATGAATTTGACAACCAGCAAAGGTTAGGTAGAATAGTGTTTATAGACACTGAGGGCAGTGGATTAACTATCCTTTGATGGGGCTGCTTTAGCTAATGTTAGGAGCCTGCCCACCAGGTTTATATTTCTTCCTTTCAGATCAGTGACTCTACAGTACTGATGACTGTAGAGTTAATGTAGGACATACAAAGATTCCTACGGAGAGCTCAGCTTTTATAGAGTTATCTCCATCCACACTAAGTTTTCATTTTCTCTGTGTGGACCTTTACTTAAGAGTAGAATATTAAGAGTGAGGCATGCATAAAGTGTTATCTATGTTTTCCGATGAATTATTGTTAAAAAGTATCAAAAACAATAGAGAAGAAAGAGTAGGATTTCATTCTTTCTTCATTTACTAGAAGATTCTGTTTTTAACTTCAATAGAAAGAAAAGAAACTAAGCTACAACTATAGTTGAAGGTAATTTGAAAGTTTGTGTTGAGACTTGACTTATTCTTTGACCAGGAAGCTAGTGAGTAATTTTTAAACATCTTTTCTATCACATAATGTAACTCCTTAAAAAATATCTTCTCATCATTTTTTTCATTTTTGCAGAACCGAGGATTGAACTCAGGCTCTTGTGCTTGCAGGGCGGTGCTTGCACTGAGCCATCTCCCTGGCCCTTCATCATTTTTCCCCACATATAAACAAACTTGCATGGGAGAAAAATTTTCTTGTTGGGACCAAGAGGAAAAAGGAGAGAGAGAGAGAGAGAGAGAGAGAGAGAGAGAGAGAGAGAGAGAGAGAGAGAGACAGAGACAGAGACACAGAGAGAAAAAGACAGAGAGAGACAGAGAGACAGAGAGAGTGAGAAGAGGAGGAAGAAAAAGAAAGAAAGAGGAGGAGGAAGGGGAAGAGGATATGGAGATGAAAGAGGAGAGAGCAAACATTAAAAATTACTCTTAGCTGTGTATTGGTGTACATCTGTAACCCCAGAATTTGGAAAGCTGAGGCAACTGCAAATTTAAGGCAAGCCTGGGCTACATAGCTTGTCTCAAAAATCAAATCAAATCAAATCAAATCAAATCAAA